TGCCAGCTTCCTCTCAAATCAAGACCAGCACTTATACATTAGTAATACAGGAACATTGTCTGGTAGTTCAGGGGAAAAACAATCGTGGGTACCATTTTGGTACGGTATAAAGTAGAGATGAAAGTTGACAATTATGAGAAAAAGATTCATTTTTTAATTATGAATCCAGCCTCGGTGTCATTGTGAAACACGCCCACCGATGGCCATTCTGGAGCTTTGGAAATGACACCTGTCCATCAGGACTCTAATCATTCACACACATCATTCTCGACATCAACACTTGCCCACGTCAAGTAAACGGTGTTTTACAGCAAGTGGAATGCCTCGTGCAGTTGGTTGATGGTAGGTGAAAAATAAATAAAATAATTGGTCGCCGATAGTCAATAAAATATGCGATTAGGAGATCTGCATTAATGCTTTCTAGTCGCTGATCCCTGATAATTCTACATTGCATACAACAAATCGGCAGGAGGAGAGCTAGTTAAGGTTAGCTGTTAGCAGCCGGGTGGCAGCACAGTCCTGCTTATAATGAGGCTAACAGCTAATGTGCAGAGGTTCCATTTAGTTAGATTATGATGTGTTCAAGCCCCAAACAGTAAAAAAAAGTTTTGGATGAAGGTACATTTTAAAATGACCATGTGTTCAAATGTAATCTTGTAGAATGTAGTTTTTGGTAAGAAACTTGAATAAATCCAGTTGTTTGAAGGAGATGTTTTAACATTAATATAAAACAGATATTAGAGATGAATTATGAGCTGTTTAACTTCCAAACACTAGCTCTGAGCAGCTGATAATACAATATTAAAACTACTAATGTCCCCCAAAAATGTTCAATCAAAGCAAATATTTACATTCCAACCAGGTCATAAAACAGTCCCAACATGAACTGCTCCTTAAACCACGATCAGCCCAAGCAATGCAGTAGCTCTAATTAACGGTGCAGGACATGTGCTCAGGTTGTTTCGGCATGTATGAATACATATATAACGTTCTCATTCAGAACGTCCACCATGTGCGTTTTGCTGCCTTCTTATGCATTTGTCAGTGTAAACTGTAGATGATGAGCACAGGTTTGAGGAGTGCGTTGATACTTTAATTCCATTTCCCAGTAACGTTTGGGTATTTTTTTTTTTTTAAATCACACTGGATTTTATTCCCTGTGCTAATATAAACCTAGTGTGTAATTTCTTAGACAACCAGCTGCCGGTGCGTTCTTCAGGGGGGACCAACTGATCTGGTGCTGGTCTCGTTTTCCCTACTATAGGTGGGACTCTTCTTTTCATTTTGAAGTCTTCATATGTCAATGTAACAGGGAAACTAAAAGCATCACTTTTCCCATTGTTGCGTGTCTCAACTGAACTGCACCACCACACTCTCCTACCAAAGCTGTCACCACAGGTGTTGCTTTTTCAGGGACTTATATCCCAAACATTCTGGTTTGTAAAACACAGTTGAACCAGCCGGTTCTCAGCCCCAGTGATACAGATACAGAAGGAACCCTTTAGTGTCTGCATGAAACTCATACACATCATAGTTAGACGCTCAGAGAAAATGCTTCAGTGTAATGACTAGGGGTGCAACGGATCATAAACCTCACGGTTCGGTTCGGATCACAGTTCTTGAGTCACGGTTCGGATCATTTTTCGGATCAGCAAAGAAAAGGGGAGGAGGCAAATATAACATTGCTTTCTATTTATTAATTAAAGAACTTTAAGAACACTTAAAGAAAGAACTTTGGGCTATAGTCTCACATAAAAACTAAAATATTGAAGATGTCCAATTTGAAACAAAATGAAGTAAATAAATAAAATTTAAACATTCAAGAATACTAAATTCTGTGAGTATTGTTTCAACTGAACTGAACTGCTCGGCAACAACTTGGGTCTATGTTTACTTCCTGTCAGGTTATGTCATTCAAATACACTGCAATAATGTTTACCATTACTGTGAAATGGTCTACAACTTTTCAAAAAAGATGAGAAACGCCAAAGACTGTCAAGACTTTATCATCACATATCATCTTAATAATAAACAATTATCTGACTGGTCTCTCCTGATTGAACTATTGTTTAACTCCATCTGTGACATGGTCCAAAACTCTCCAGAGACTGGACTGTTTTTTATTACTGCTGTTTCTAAGGTCCAGGGCCTTATGTGCTATTTCTGTTTTTCCCCCTGCTACCAGTCTCTAGGCCAAAGCCATCTTGATCTATCTCTAAAGAAGAAAAACCTATGCAACGAGGCTAAAGAATCACCAAAAATCAGCATCAACTTTAACAGAACTCTCCAAGACACGGTGTCACTATTCATGATGAGACCTGCGCTGCACTGACATGAACCCAGCTGACCTCTGCCATGTGGTTGATTTCAGTAAAATCATTCAGTCAGTGTTCTGCTAAAGATCTAGGTCACTAGTCACCGCTGGCAGCAGAGAGAGAGGCCTAATGCAAAACAAATGTTTTCATCAATGTTGAATCAGCATCATTCTTTTTCCCTCCCCTCTCCTCCCAGAGGACTGACTTGGAGGACTCGAGCTGTGGCTGAGTCTCCTCAGACAGCTGCTTCACATTAGGCATTGATGATGAGAATTTGATGTTGCCCACGTCTTCAACCCCTGTGACAAACTGCTCACCACCAAAAACCATCAAGACAGCTGTGTACTCTCCCTCAGCGGCAATCACAGATAAATCCTGAAGCTGGTTGGGTGTATGCTACTAATGGAAACCAGTGAAGAGAATCAAACAAAGGACTGTGTTAAGGTAGTCTGAGAGAGAATTAGCCCCAATACATGCCATTCTGTCCTTTTTTGGGAAAAACTGTTCAAAGATCTGCCAATTTATTGTTTCTTTTTTATCAGCAAAGAAGCGAAGTAGAGAAATTTATGTTGAGGGATAAGCCGAGAGAAAAGGTGCTGGACATTTCAACACACATCTGGTCTGCTCTGAACTTCTAGAAGTGCTTCTTACTGCTCTGCTGCCCTCTGTATTGCAGTTTCATAGCAATGTATGCTACAAATACACTACATGGCCAAAAGGACATGGACACTTGAACATCACACCCATGGTTTAGTTGAACATGTCATTCCAAAACCATAAATGTTGTTAGATCAGCCTAAACAATAATCAAATACCTAAAATGCAACTAAAACTAATCAAAACCTTCCCTTCACTGGAGCTAAAAGAAGCAGCCCATCTTCTGAAGAACAGACCCAGCCCAAAACGTTACCGCTATCCACACAGACCAAAGAACCACTTTGCTACATCACTATGTACTGTGAAGAGATCTGACCAAGGAGCCAACTCACTGATCCTCTAAAAGACACCATGAGTCAGACGGCACCGTGCTGTGATCGTTTATGAGACGTCACCCTGAATATGTGAGCTGGAGGCGTCTCAGCATAAAGACTGTGATCTGATGTGGTTCAGCGAGAAAGAGAGTCAGATCCTTAGAGTTATGAGTGTGCAGCCTTAGCCTTGTGCAGCACTATTATTTCATTAAGTGGAAATCTGTTATGCATTTAAAATGAACTTTTCCTTGAAAAGGAAGAAAGCCTAAGGGAAATGGTAATATGCAGCCTTTTGCTTTCTGAAGAGTTTTATTTTCTTTGTTGTTTAAGAAGGGGTTTTACATATTATAGTTCAAGTTGAAGCAGCAGTAATTGGCTTGTGACGGTGTCAGCCAAAGATGGTGCCAGAAGAGAAGGAGGGGAAAAAGTGTTGTAAGACAGGAGCATGGAGAGCGACAGCTATTCAGTCGGGTCCAATCGACTGTAAGCACGGGAGCTACTGCTGGGCGGTATACCGGTTCAACCGTGTAACCCTCTCTTTTATTTGTTACCTATATTCAATTAATAAAGGATAATGGAAGTAAATTCATCTGTTTTTTAATTATGAATCATTACAAATATGCTGTTTTAAAAATAGCAGATAGTCACTGTGAGAAAAAAATAAATCATGTATGAAAAAATGTTCGAGATGATCGTTTTATAATCGCATCGCAGCCCTCTGAATGGGAATGGAATCGTGAGGTGCCTAGAAATCCCCCCCCTAGTCCGCAGTCTACTATGGATAACATTGTCAGTGAAATAAATGTACTGTAATGTGTATAATCAATTACCCTGAACAGATGAGAGCAGCTTTAAAAGAGCAGAAACACATGTGTGATAGTGGTAGTACTAGCATCAGTACTGATAAGAGTGTGGGACACGATATACACCATTTACAAATAAACCACAACAACAGGTGACATCACCACGGTTGTTCTAGATTAGTACGTCTTTCTGTCTAAATGGTCTCAATAATATTTTTAGTTTTCTGTACTGCAATTTCTTGTTACTTATCAGCCGCTGATACCAATATATTTGTTTCAATTGGCCAATATTATCGACAAAACAAAGAACGTTGTTTGATTTACTGCCTTTTCCACGATATGAGTGTGTTAAAAGTCCAAACCACCTGTCTACCACAGAAATGTTTGACAGAATAGATGGTCTTAGAGTAGGTGGTGTCAAATCAGTGTGCTATGGTGGATTAGTCTGTAGGACCACTGAATCTCCAATTTGTTCTGTGATTCAAGTAGGTATGCTGTTGTGCTTATCGATGGCTGTCTCCATCAGTGTAGTAGAACTTTTTGACACTAAAGATTCGCTCATACTTCAGTACAGATGCAGACAGCGGTTGACTTTGACAATAACAGTAACATACTGTAGGCAGCAGTGTTCCTCAAATCAGTACTATAAAGTAAGATGGCAAGATCATGACAGCAAAAAGAACTCCTTCGCTCTTCGTTGTAGAACAATTTGTGTATTTCCTTGAAACAAATCCTAAAAATGTGGATCGTGGGGGATGTTCTTGCATAGCCTCTCTTCGAAAAAAGACATTGCAAGCACCATCAGCACACTCACCTGATTCCAACATCTCTACGCAGGTGAGATTACAAACTAAAGAGAGGAACAACCAATTGAATGCAATAACCAGAAGGAAGAAAGGGAATGTACTTACCCAGGACATTTCCTACAGGCACCTCCTCCAGCTCCTCTAGCTCTCTTCCCATCAGCAGGTAGAGGCTTTCCATGGAACAGCAGGACAGATGAGGCACCTCAGTCACACAGTCTGAAGCACTGACACCCTCTGGCAGCTGGCAGAGAGGAGACAAGCAATGAACATGAGGAGCAAAGAGGCTCACAGGGTAGCACTGGGATCACAATGCATGGACAGCTAGGTGACGCTCCTCTGCCCTCTCAGCTGGGATTTAAAAAACAAGGTCAAATGGAAACAGTAGATATATTTCTCTTGTTTATTGTATATTCTATGTATGTATGTAAGAGAGCAATGTGTAACCGGAGTCAAATTCCATGTATGCGCACCAATAAAGCTGATTCTGATTCTGATTCTGAGATGTAATGATTTCGTGGCTCAGATGATCTGCAATGTCTGCATGTATCAAAAATGCAGATGCTGTGATTTAGAGGTAATTGTTGCTTTGGCAGTAAGCACCACAGCTGCTGCTTTGTTGATGGAGCTCCATTTCCTCTTTGTACTTTGCATCCTGGGACGGTTGCCTCACATCCACCATCCATTGTTAACATGTCTGTCCGTCTCACATCTCCTGAGCTAGTTTGTGACAGTTTAACCTAGAAATATTTTTTTCTGGAGATATAAACTGCAAACACCTGATTCTTTGATTCGTTATTCATTATTGGAGAACTGATGTCATGTCTGTTTTAAAAGAAAACTGCTGTGATTCCATTCTCTTTCATCCGCTCCCATGAAATTCTGTTGGTACTGCTCAAGCAGCATGCCTTAAACATCTCTGTTTGTTGCAGTTAGGACTTCCAGACTGAACCATCCAAACAGTGTTGTTTACTCGTTGCCTTTTATCCAATGTGGAACACAAGAGAAACATGGTACAGTACATGTAATGGGTTCTTGAGTTAAAACTGCAATTATTTAACTGACTGTAATAAAAAAAAAAACTAATAATGAGTTAGTGTTAGGCTAGGGCAGTTTGTTATTTGCAATGAGACGCCTCTTTTCATCCTGTTCATACTCGTTAGTCATTGTTTGTGACAAAAAAAGGTAATTCAGCTTCGAGCTCCAAGCTCATTATCGATTCATCTGGTAATTATCTTCTGAATCAATCGTTTATTCGTCTAGTCTATGAAATGGTCTCTAGTCCAAACTCTAAGATACATCAGCAGATGTACAGTGGGTACGGAAAGTATTCAGACCCCTTTAAATTTTTCACTCTTTGTTTCATTGAAGCCATTTGCTAAAATCAAAAAAGTTCATTTTATTTCTCATTAATGTACACTCAGCACCCCATCTTGACAGAAAAAAAACAGAAATGTAGAATTTTTTGCAAATTTATTAAAAAAGAAAAACTGAAATATCACATGGTCATAAGTATTCAGACCCTTTGCTCAGTATTGAGTAGAAGCACCCTTTTGAGCTAGTACAGCCATGAGTCTTCTTGGGAATGATGCAATAAGTTTTTCACACCTGGATATTGGGATCCTCTGCCATTCTTCCTTGCAGATCCTCTCCAGTTCCGTCAGGTTGGATGGTGAACGTTGGTGGACAGCCATTTTCAGGTCTCTCCAGAGATGCTCAATTGGGTTTAGGTCAGGGCTCTGGCTGGGCCAGTCAAGAATGGTCACAGAGTTGTTCCGAAGCCACTCCTTTGTTATTTTAGCTGTGTGCTTAGGGTCATTGTCTTGTTGGAAGGTGAACCTTCGGCCCAGTCTGAGGTCCAGAGCACTCTGGAAGAGGTTTTCTTCCAGGATATCTCTGTACTTGGCCGCATTCATCTTTCCTTCAATTGCAACCAGTCGTCCTGTCCCTGCAGCTGAAAAACACCCCCATAGCATGATGCTGTCACCACCATGTTTCACTGTTGGGATTGTATTGGGCAGGTGATGAGCAGTGCCTGGTTTTGTCCACACATACCGCTTAGAATTAACGCCAAAAAGTTCAATCTTGGTCTCATCAGACCAGAGAATCTTATTTCTCATAGTCTGGGAGTCCTTCATGTGTTTTTTGGCAAATTCTATGCGGGCTTTCATATGTCTTGCACTGAGGAGAGGCTTCCGTCGGGCCACTCTGCCATAAATCCCCGACTGGTGGAGGGCTGCAGTGATAGTTGACTTTGTGGAACTTTCTCCCATCTCCCTACTGCATCTCTGGAGCTCAGCCACAGTGATCTTTGGGTTCTTCTTTACCTCTCTCACCAAGGCTCTTCTTCCACGATTGCTCAGTTTGGCTGGACGGCCAGGTCTAGGAAGAGTTCTGGTCGTCCCAAACTTCTTCCATTTAATGATTATGGAGGCCACTGTGCTCTTAGGAACCTTGAGTGCTGCAGAAATTCTTTAGTAACCTTGGCCAGATCTGTGCCTTGCCACAATTCTGTCTCTGAGCTCCTTGGGCAGTTCCTTCGACCTCATGATTCTCATTTGCTCTGACATGCACTGTGAGCTGTAAGGTCTTATATAGACAGGTGTGTGCCTTTCCTAATCAAGTCCAATCAGTTTAATTAAACACAGCTGGACTCCAATGAAGGAGTAGAACCATCTCAAGGAGGATCAGAAGAAATGGACAGCATGTGAGTTAAATATGAGTGTCACAGCAAAGGGTCTGAATATTTATGACCATGTGATATTTCAGTTTTTCTTTTTTAATAAATTTGCAAAAATTTCTACATTTCTGTTTTTTTCTGTCAAGATGGGGTGTTGACTGTACATTAATGAGAAATAAAATGAACTTTTTTGATTTTAGCAAATGGCTGCAATGAAACAAAGAGTGAAAAATTTAAAGGGGTCTGACTACTTTCCACTGTATGAGACATGTGAGAAGCTGGAACCAGCATGAAGGAATGGACTATCAACACTACTTTTCATTTGAAAGTCACTTGCAGTTTGTGTGTGAAGAGGCAGTGTTTGCAGACCAGAGCTCAAAGGCAACAATGGATGATTTGGTTTTCCACCTGAACTACAGGTTTGAAACAAACCAACGAAAACCATGGAAAACCTACTGAATTCCTTAACAGAAGAGATATTTTGGGGCTGAAAAGTGAAGCAACTTAATATTTACAGTAGACCTGTACATTCCACAGAGAGAAGTACTATAAAGGTTGATCTATAACTGTGTTTACCATGCTGAGGCCCTGGGCGGGATCATACTTTGGTCCCAGAACAAATACTCTCTGTCCTTTCTTCACCACTCCGCTGTAGACCCGCGCAAAAGCTATGAAGGTCTGCTGCTCCACTTCCTCCTCTGGCTTTGATTGTTTCAGTGGCAGACTCTCCATCTTAGCTGACAGGGAGACACAAGATACACAGAAAGTGAGACTCAGTCACAAGGAACCATTTCATTAAGTAGAGTTTTTATCCAATCAGATTTCACCTCTGTGTCTCTAGGTAAGAAGAGAGGCCCGAGACCT